TTCCTGAATGCATGCTCTTGAGAGCTGGAAATTTTATAGGCTTTGTACTATTATCTCTAGCACGTAAGACAGTACCTGGCAGATGCACAATTACTATTCATTAGATAAAAGAATTAAGACTATACACCTATCTCTTCTTTAGCACTGATGAAACAAAAAAGTTACAAGCACTTGAGAACATATTATTTACATTCTTTCTACAATGTAACTATTTCAAAACAACCAAACTTTAGAACAAGAAAGTTCTACTTTATATAAAGTTTTTCTTTATGACTTCTTCTCAATAAATTTTGTTTTCTGAACTCCTTGAAAGAAAATAAAATAACATTTAACATGAATACCCAAATGAACACCCTTTTCTACTTAGTAGTTACCTTATTAAGAAGTGGCTGTAACTTGGTTAGTGCTATCACTGTAGCTTCTATCAGAACTTGGCTATTGTAAGTATCAGGTCCTTTTAAGCAACTCTCAAGTGCCTGTAAGAAAACAGCATTCTTCATTTTCATTGAAATAAAACATTAACCCCTAAACGGAATCTCTAAATCAGTTTAGGAACATGGTAAGTGCTAGAATGATTTCTAATGTTATGGTGATCTTAGTATCTAGCTCAATATTTATTTGGCTTCTTAGGTTTTGATATTTCTATATTATATTCTAATATAATAAGGCATTATTACAGTGATTACAAATTATATAGTAGTCTTACTTGATTAAATACTTTGAAAACTAATACAATATGTGAGGGTACTTGCTGACAGCAAAAGAGACAACATACTTATTTTCTTTTAAAGACATCTTTAGAGAAAATTTCTTCACTTTAAGGGATTATAATAAAATCAAAATACATTTTTAAAGGTTTATAATCAACAAATAAGGTATCTCATTAAATACAAACTTAAATGTCTTTTAGAAAGATGGAAGATACGCATTACAACTTGGGAACCACACATATTTGGTGTGAAGGATAGTTACCTTGCTCAGAATACGGATAATCTGCTTTATCTGCCCATGAGACACTCTTTTGCTAATACAGCCAAAGACAACAAGAGCTCTTGGTTGCAGGGATGGATTATATTGAAATGCAAATCTATAATTAAAAGATCCACAGAACTTATAAAAATGTTGGTGTTTATATATACTAAATAAAAAATTAAAGTATCAATTATATAGTAATGTCTACCTTTTCAACAATATATATACTTTTATACTTTTTATTTAAACTGGGATATACCTTTGAGCTAGTTCTGTCCACTGGTCCAGCCACTTGCATGTTGGAATATCTCTCATACATGCCTAAAACAAAGGATACTTTGAATAAACATGTATATAATTCCACTGAAGTGTTTTTATTTAAGCATTAAGTAAAAACCAGCAAAATAAACTAGTATTTCTTCTAAACAGTGTTAGTACAGAAGAATTATACAATAAATAAATCTATAATGATTTTAACTGAGTTTCTTTCTTTCTTTTTTTGAGACAGAGTCTCACTCTGTTGCCCTGGCTAGAGTGCCATGGCATCAGTCTAGCTCACAGCAACCTTAAACTCCTAGGCTTAAGCAATCCTCCTGCCTCAGGCTCCTAAGTAACTGGGACTACAGGCACCCATCACAATGCCTGGCTGATTTTTTCTATTTTTAGTAGAGAAGGGGTCTTGCTGTTGTTCAGGCTAGTCTCGAACTCCTGAGCTCAAGAGATCCTCCCGCTTGGCATCCCAGAGTGCTAGGATTACAGGCGTGAGCCACTGTGCCCAGCCATTAACCGAGTTTCTTATTATTTTGCCTTATATACCTCCATGATCTCCAACAAAGCTTCTGTGACTGTTTCCAAGGATGTCAAAGCAAAAGTCTCCCTCTCATAGGAGCCAGGAGAAAATGACCTGTCCCGGTAACTGGAACGGAAGGCAATTACAGCAGCTGACTTGACTTTGCTAATGCCAAACAGCAAGTAAAATTTGGGTAATGAGAACTCTGTTAGACTGAGTCTCAAAACTTGCTTGGTCTCTTCTGTAAAAGAAAAAAGGAACCAGTGAAGACTTTGAAGATACTAATTTTTTAATTCTAAAGTCCCATGTTTCATTTGTAATTTAGAAAACGTGAATATCATATAAAAATAGCATAACCATACTCTCTAAATCAAGCCTCTAGACACATTACATTAATGCACACTGCTTTAGCTCCATTTATCTTTCAAATTAGTGCTAATGAAGGAACACTGTCAACTGGCACTGAGCATTTAGCTTAGGAGATAACTAAGTTTACATGACAAATACACACAAAATCTTTACTGTAGATTTTAAATGCAGACATGCAAAATATTTCATGTCATTATTGCAGGCTTAAATTAGTACCTGGTGTTAAGGCACTATGATAAAGTAATAAGATAATCTATACCAATCAGGTGAAGTAAAATGGAGAAAGAAACTGGTGAAACAGATTCCTTTGCTGGAACTTACCACTAAAATGCAGCTGCGAACAAGTGCACAGAGAGTGAATGATATTAATGACCAATCCATGTGTGGAAGCTCTAAGGGAAAGTGGACCTGTGGCTACTAAGAAAGTGACAACATGGAACAGGTAGGGGAGGTGAGCTGCCACATCAAGGGAGTTGTTGAAGGACAACATCAGCATGTAGCGTGCTAAAATAGCAATATCATCCCACATTAGATGCTGCTCTAAAGTAGGAGTTGGAGATAAGCATGTCTTGTCTATTATTTTGCACATCCTTCCAATAACCTGTAAAGAAGCAGAATTTTAAAAAGTAGGGAACTGAAACAAAGTTTTATCACAAAAAAATTCAGTTTAATTTTATAATAACTAGTTATAAAACAAACAACCCCCCCCCCATAAACTATATTAAGTCAGTCCTAAAGGCAAAGTTAACGTGATTACCTTGCTTGAAACCAATTTCACATTTCCAGAAGCCAAAGCTACAGCAGTATCTGCCATCACCTCAGCTTTTATTGATCCCAAGCCACCTGTTGCACTGGTTTTGATGAAACTGTCTAGTACAACATCAAGCAGATCTGTAATCTGGTGGAAGAGGAAAAATAACACATTTTTAACCACTCTATCAACTTAATTTTTAGTTTAAGTATACCCATGGAGTGGCAAAATCAACATGAAAATTCTGTTTTACCTGTGACCTCAAAATTACTAGATTTTTACTTGATTTAACAGAGAATATGCAAGAAAGGATAAGGGTACTCATTTGATTCCTTCTGAGATAATGAGACTGATATTTAAAATTTAAAAATCTCTATACATACTATCTTTGTTTGTTTGCAAAGTGTCTTTGTACTCTCGTAAACCAGTAACATATGAGCAATATAAAAATGAGATAGGGTCCCCCCCCCCCCGAGACTGTTCACCCACAGTAGAGTGCAGTGGTATCATCATAGGTTATTGCAACCTCAAACTCCTGGGCTCATGTGATCCTTCTGCCTCAGCCTCCTGAGTAGCAGGGCTATAGGCATGCACTATTGCATCTAGCCCATCTTCTTTATTTTAATATTGGCATTCTTAAATTAGAACTATAAATGAAAGCAAGTGTCCCAAAAAATACCATTAAGAAACACACCCATGGTGTATAGAGATTAAAGCACTATTTACTAGAAATGACATCAGATTTCTACAGTTAAATTCTATGTAATTATGTTATGGAGGAGGACTGCTAAAATAACTCCGGCTCAGACGCATGCATATTAGACATTTACAATTTTGAACCAGATGAGGAGTTGGGTGGGTGTCTGCATCTTTCTGAAGGAGAAAATTGTATTTTTTAGTCATACCCCTTGTGCCTGGCACAGTGCTTTGCACGAATTTGGTACCAAATATCTGCAAAAAGGAGATACCAGATAAATATCGAAGCAAACTTATACCTGCCCAAGGCTTCCCCATATTTTTGCTTGAATGGAAGGGTACATCTGTTTTTCATTTATGGTCATTGTTATCAGCTTATCAAGAATAGCAGTAACTCTTTGTCGCTTGGCGTCGTCATTATGCTTACAAAAACGGACCAGATTTGATAGCCATGGAGTCATGTATTCCAAACAAAGATGTTTCAATTCAATACCTGGAAAAAAATACTCTTATCATAGATGGTCAATGAAAACTATACCAACAATTATTTTAATATAAAGAATTAGGGGGGGAAATGTAAAAAGTAACACCATTACCTAGAAACGGGCCCAGAGAAAAGAGACTTGGCAAATGTAATTTTGAAGACAGAGGTGAAGAAAGGGAACAAGCCTTGAAGAAAGTAATTTTAAAAGCCAGTAAGCCAATATTTGAAGTTTTGTCTTATTTTTGTCCTTCATAGTCATTTATCCTCTGGTTAAAATTAAGTTTTATTCTCATTATAAAAGGAACACATGGTAATCATACAAAGTTTGGGAAAAAGAAAGCATCACCATAAAAATGAAACTAATACTAATATACTGGTGTGTCATGTCATCTCTCCTTACAGTTTCAAATCTATGTAGAGATAATGTACATTTATTTGTATACATACTACACACTTGTTAAGAACTTCTCCTCATTCCCCTATAAAAATTAGGATTATTCTGTATATGCACTATGCTCTCAACATTTTTTCACAAAACATTATACTAAGATTTATGAATCATTAAAAATTCTCCAAAAACTTTTTAACTTTTTATTTGAAAAAACTTTAAACTTGTAGTAAGACGCAAAAACAGGCTCGGCACTTGTAGTTCAGAGGCTGGGGTGCCAGTCATATACACTAAGGCTGGCGGGCTCGAACCCAGACTGTGCCCGCCAAAACAGCAATGACAACCGCAACAAAAAATAGCCGGGCATTGTGGCGGGCGCCTATAATCCTAGCTACTTAGGAGGCTTAGGCAAGAGAATCACTTAAGCCCAAGAGTTGGAAGTTGCTGTGAGCTATGATGTCACAGCACTCTA